ATATATATATATATATATATATATATATATATATATATATATATATACATCCATCCATCCATGTTTATATATAAACGGTGCCTTTTATATTGGCGAGTTATTTGGATGGAATGGCCGATGCCCGATATTTAACTTTATCGCTAATATCGGCCGATACTGATACCATGCCAATAATATCGTGCATCCCTAGTATTCACCAAATATTTATATTTAGATGACTGTGATAAATGTCCCTGTGATCCAGAAAAGTCCTTTAGTGGCTTGTTATTGACAAAAACTCAGACCTAAACAATAAATCCATTTAATGCTGCAAAGCTAGCTATTAATTTAATAGCATAAAGGTTTAGCTGATTAATAGAAACAAAAAGGAGCTATTTTAAAATCAAAATAACCTGTTTGTAGCTTTTTTTTAACTTGAATATTGTCTAGTCTTTTTAAACGCTTTTAGCTGATGATCATATGAAACCTATTTATTTTTAACCGTTTTATCATGAAATTGATTGAGAGACATAATACAAAGTTCATCCGTTTACAGTTTAAGCTATAGAAAAAGAACATGGACAAATAAATTGTGAAAGTTCACAAAGTATCCATGGTCGTCTGAAGTTTTTTGTGCATCAAAAAAAAAAAAGAAAAAAAATCTGAACAAAACCCAAGTTTTTTTATTTTGGGTTTCAGGGAGACGAGCGAAGATGCAGACAGCCTGGGTGATGCAAGCAGTCAGCCGGACACCGTGTCCATCGCCTCACGAACGTCTCAGAACACCGCCGACAGCGACAAGGTGAACACACACACACACACACACAGAGGGGTGTGTCAGACTGCATTCTGACCTCACCACTGCTGCAGCTGCATGGGTGTGTGTCTGTCTGGTGTTGGAGGGAGTTTCCACTCTTTCCACGTCTTCCACAGACGCTCTCTGTTCTGCTGGCGAGGTACGTTTGATTTACTTTACCTGTTGGTAGTTAGAGGCGGGTGGGGTTAGTGGGCGTGACCTCTGCCCTACCAGTCCTGCAAGCTGTGATCCATTAGTTGTCTTCGGGGTGTTGAAACGTACGCATTTGGGAACTGAGATGAGAATGTGATGAGAAGGAGCTGAAAGAATGTTTTTCCTAAAATTTAAGTGATTATAAAGAATTTTGTTTAATTTAAAAGTTTGTTCCATTCTTTTAAAACGAGTTAAAGCCAAAATAAAATCAGCTATTTTGACAAAATCAACAATCTTTTTTTTTTTTCTTTACGAAAGTAGAAGAAAATGATCAAACCAGAAATTTAAAAACTATTTTTAAACATTAGTCGAAAGTGGTAAAAAATACAACTTTAAGTTCTATAGAAAAATATGACTTAAAAAATGAATTATAAAGGGACAGAAAATTGCCTGAAAATAAATTGAACAAAAGTCCAAAGACAAAAAGAAAAAAACACATCCTGGACCAAAAACATGTCAAAGACTTTAGAAAGAAATTTTAAAAATATTTTTCAAATGTTCAAGAATAAGTCACATCATCTAACTATACAACAAAAAATTGTGAATATATGTAAAAATTAATAAAACCTACCAAATTTTTTTTTTTAAGTTTTCAGGAACATATAGACACTTTGAAAAAATATATATAGTATATAATTTATTATATACTATATATTTATTATATACTATGTTACTATAATTTATACTTTTATCAGAAACCAACTAAAAATAATAAACTAAAAAAATTTAAAGGGAAAATATTGGCTATATTTTGAAAAATGTCTTAACTCTTGATAAAATAACAGCACATAAAAAATAATGACAGGACAGACAAATTAAAAAAAATTGCACAAAAAAGGAAGAAAATTTGTGTTCAGCTGATTATTTCTAACACTTCTTGACAATACATTTTAAAAAGCTGGAAAGTCTGATTGTTTCCACTTACATGGCGCCACTTTTGTCAGAAAATTGCTGCTGTGGGTTGAGCAGCAGAGTTGAGGGTTGCACCCATTAAAAAACTTGCCACATCTTTTCTGTCAAACAGCTCATTCAACTGTTAACTCTTGTTTGGTATTTATTGGACTGGATGTTTGAAGTGTGGAGAAACAAGACCTATTAGCAATTAATTCTGTTCAACAAACAGAAGCCTTAGGAGCATGTGGAACAACCATACACAGCCACAAGAACCAATATGCGACCAGCAGTGTGTGACAAATTTCCTAACTTTTTTTTTTTTTAAGCTTTGTTTACTTTAATAATACTAGAAAAATAAAAAAAAATAGTTGGAAATTTGGTAAATTATTCCTCGTTTATCACGGGGGTTATGTTTCACACCCCCCCGGGATAAGTGAAAAACTGCCATGTG